CACCATGAGCGCCTGGCCCTCGAACACCTGCTTTTCGATCGGTACCTGCGGCTCGTTCTTGCGGGCAAATGCGGGCGGCTCGCCATCGGGCTGGCGCTGCCACACATCGGCCACGTGCAAGAAGGCGGCACGCTCCAGGCCGATGTCGATGAAGGCCGACTGCATGCCCGGCAGCACGCGCACGACCTTGCCGAGGTAGACGTTGCCGACGAGGCCCCGCTCCAGCGTGCGCTCGATGTGCAGCTCCTGCACGGCGCCGTTGCTCGACCACGGCCACCCGGGTTTCCTGGGGGGACCAATTGATCAGGATGTCTTGTTGCATGGCTTCGTGGTGGTTGTCTATTGTTCGCGTCGCTCGGATCGCAACTTAGATCGCAAAACCCGCTGCGCGCAGCAGCTGCGCGGTCTCGTACATCGGCAGCCCCATGATGCCCGAATAGCTGCCCGCCAGGTGCTCCACATACGCCGCCGCCCGGCCCTGGATGCCGTAGGCGCCTGCCTTGCCCAGCGGCTCGCCCGTGGCCACATACGCCTCGATCTGCGCAGGTGCCATGGGCGCGAAAGTGACGCGCGATACCGACAGGGCCGTCAGCCGTTTGGTGCCTACCTGCAGAGCCACGGCGGTCAGCACGCGGTGCTCGTGCCCTGCCAGTTCAGCCAGCATGCGTGCCGCATGCGCGGCATCGTCGGGCTTGCCGTAAATGGTGCGGCCCAAGGCCACCGTGGTATCGGAACACAGGATGGGCGCATCCGGTAACTGGCGCCGTGCACGCCGGGCCACGGCCGCGTCGAGCTTGAGGGCCGTCACGCGCTCCACATACGCTGTGGGCGCTTCGCCAGGCAGCACCACCTCGATGGCCTCGGCATCCTCGGGCTCGTCGCCATCCACGTTGGGCAGCAGCAGTTCGTGGCGCACGCCCAACTGTTCAAGCAACTGGCGACGGCGCGGGCTCTGGGAGGCGAGGTAGATGAAGTCGGGCATGAACGGATTTTGAATAAAAATCGGCTGGGGATGTCCTGCATCACCCTCGCGAGTCGGTGGTAGTGCGGATCGGGATAGGCCGCAAGGCGTCTTTTGCAGCCAATAGCCGGGCTATTGGCAAGAAAAGCAACGCAGCGGACTGCCCGAGGCCGCGCTATCACAGACCGCAGGGAGTGATGCAGGACATCCCATACGCTTATTCATCAAGCGCCAGCAGCTATGAAAATAGGAGTAATGCAGACCATCATCGCAAAGGGCCTGCTTCATTCACGATGGTAAGGATGCCCGGCATTCACCGACCAGGCGCGGTACAGCTGCTCGATGAGCAACACCCGCACCATGGCGTGGGGCAGGGTCAGGTCGGACAGGCGAATGCGTTCGTGCGCGGCCTGGCGAAAGGCCGGGTCCAGCCCGTCGGGGCCACCGATGACCAATGCCACATCGTCACCGCCCAGTTGCCAGCCCTTGAGCCGTTCGGCCAGGGCCTTGGTGGTGAGGTTGGTGCCACGCTCGTCCAGTGCCACCACGCGCGTGCCACGCGGAATGGCGGCTTCGATGCGCTCGCGCTCGGCGGCATAGAGCGTCTCCAGCGTCTTGGAGCCGCGCGGCTCGGTCTTGACGGCCTTGAGCTCGACCTTGAGTTCGGGTGGAAAACGTTTGGCGTAATCGTCGTACGCGGTCTGCGCCCAGTCGGGCACCCGCTGACCGACCGCCACTATCAGCAGCTTCATGGATCAACCTGGATGCGTGAGGGAGTCACCGCTGCCGCGCGCAAGCAATGGAGCGCGCGGCAGCTGAAACGGATCAGCCCTTGCTGCGAGCAGGTGCCTTCTTGGCCGCGGGCTTGGAGCCCGATGCGGAGGCTGGCTTGGTAGCTGCGCGCGCAGGGGACTTGGCAGCTGGCGAC